AATATCCATTCGTGCGCGAGATACTCAGGAGTTAATTAACAATTAATTACGGGCATAACTTTAAATACAGCAATCATGAACCTCATGCCCAATAACGATATCGGGCAATTTGTTATCTTATGATGCATATACGATTTATTGCCGAATATGGGAGAAGGCATTTTGCGTTTGATGTGGGCTTTACTGCGAGAAATGTTGATCGTGATTCAAAGCCGATATGCTGTTATATGGGATAATCGCGTCGTGTGCGTTGAGCTTGCGCGTCGATGATGGCGAAGGGAGAGAAGAACGGCTTAATGGAAGAAACAAAGCGCGCGGCGCGCCGTTATAGGAAGTTATTACACCACCCCGTCTTTCTCTCTCTCGTATATTTAGCATAGTGCAAACGTGGCCGTCGGCGATACACTCGATTTGGCATCCAGCCACCGTTTCCATGCGCGCGATGACGTCGCAAGGCCGCATTATCTAACGCAATGCCGCCATGTCATCTTTTGTTCCTGTTTTACGCGACTGCACGTACGTCACGCGCTTTACGTTACGCTTAACGCTGCTTGCGAACGATCCATGACGTCAGTGGCGCATGTAGCATACTTCAACAGATAAAGTGACACGTGCTTCTGTGTTGCTTTGACAGATAAAAATTTAATCGTCAAGTTCTGCTGTGCGATATTCAGATCAACGGACCAATCAACAGATATATGTGATTGTATGTTGTGGGAAAATAAAATGACATATCATTAATGAATATTCAATAATAAAGAGAATTAGAAGAATGATAAATAATAGTATCAAAAAATATTAAAAGCAAGAATAAAATGGCGAGATATCATTTCTTCCTGGAAACAACAATGTGTATCCTTCGCGTAAAATTATCAATTATTATTATACTTCCAAGCGTCAAACAAAGCAAAGTGTAATTTCGCAAAAGAAACTATAAGAGAGACTCGCATGAAATTTCGAAAAGCAACAACATGCGACACACGCGACGTGCACGCGCAAGACATTTCCTCCAAGAAGGTGGAAAATGAAGAGAGAATCGCGCGCGGCCGATCGCTTGACGCAGCCCAGCAACCACGTGTCTCGTCCGATCTCGTCTCTTGCGCTAGCAATGTCGCGATGCATAATGCACGCGTGAACTATTGCGTGCGCGTGTATGTACATACATGTATGTACACGTGAACGTGTGTCGCATCGTTAGGACTGTATAATGCGATGGAGAAGCTTGAGAGCAGCGAAAGGAGAGTGGGGTTTCCGGAGGCATCACAGGCTAACGACGAGAGGGAAGAAGGGGAAAACGTCTGCGAACGTGGGACGGAGGCTGGGAAGAAAAGAGGAACGAGCCGAGACTGGATCCTCGTGCACGTCGACGACTCGCAGGGATGAAAGGACGACTTCTAACTCCCTTCTCGTCGCGTTGCTTGCGAATCAGGTGTTTGCGCGTCAAGGCTACCGCTACGAGAGAATTTCTTGCGGCGTTTTCAAGTCGGGAAACATTTGCAACCGAGCACACGTGCTCTCTCGCTCTCTCTTTCTCTCTATAATTAATCGCACCGTCGGCTCTTTATTCTGTCAGTTTTTTCTTCGACGACAACGATTGATTAAACATTGGCATTACGACATAATTTCGGGCGGGCTGTAATAAATTTGAGACTGTTAGCCATTAATTTGATCATGCTGATAAGATAGAGATGATTACTTTTTTCTATTTTATAGAGATGGGTATTGAAGCATTTAATTAAAAGTTTATAGTGTATGCTATATTTACTGAATTCGAAAATAATGTTTCCGGAATATTTTATTATCATCGCCTCAAACACGAGTATGATTTTTCGAATGTTTTATTGTTTCATCATTGATCAAAGATATAGCTTTTAGTAAAAAAATACTGGGAAATATATAGCTAAATTTTTGATGCTTCCTCTGTGATAAATATAGAATAATATAATGCACTTTTTTAAAATGTATTTTTAATTATTTTGTTGATAATATGTAGAAATTTTTGAAGATCAAATATAAATAGCACAAAATGCAATGTTATATATGTGTAACATAAAATATTTGTTTTTTATTAAAAAAGTCTTACGTAATGGAAAAAGATAGATAATGTTTCTTTGAAATTTGCATATTAAAAAAATATGGAAAATTGGTTGTTTTTTTTGAAGCAATGAAAAAAACATTCGTTAATTGATATTTATTATATATAAAATATTAATTATACTAATTAATTTTAAGTTTAATTAAATTATTGAAACATACATTTTTATTGTGTTCAAAATTTTACTTTACCTATTAAAAAAAAATTATTACATGTAAATAATTATATTTGAAAATCTATATATACATATATATATAGTACTTTATAAAAGAAAAGAAGCTGCTGTAATAAATGAATAAATTCTTTTATGTCATTAATCTCATTCTTTATACTTTTAAATAAAGTCATCTCCAATAAAATGCACAATTTGATAAATATATCTGAAGATATAAAAGAAATTTCAAATATATATACTTTATGTACGAAAAACACAAGTAATTTTAAAGAACTTGTTATTTTCTTTTTTAAATATATATATATATATATACATTTATCAGATTGCGCATTTTTTTTATTAGAGATAGCTTTATTTTAAAATGTTAAAATATAAAGAATGAGATTAATGGCACAAGAGAATTTATTCATTTATTATAGCAGCTTCTTTTCTTTTTTAAAAGTACTTCTTGAAACTTCTTGAACACTTTCGTGAATTGTGAAAGATTCAAATAGAGGCCAAGGAGTGTGTGATTTAGGTCATGACCTACATTTTGTACTCCTCCTCCAGTGCTCTCTTACTATCTCTTTCTCTCTTTCTGTCCTTGTCTCGGTCTATCTGTCTTTGTCTATCTTTCTCTCCACCTATAATGCCTGTTCAAGTTAACTCGATGTTATACGTGATATAATGATGACGCAGTATGAATAACTTACGTATGTGTGTCGTGTTTAAAAACAGCTATATATACATATATATTAGAATGTAAATAATCATTATCATTCGATAAATTCGGTAAATTACCATTCAATTTACGACATTTCTCTGGTTGTTATCAACTTCTGTAACGAAATTAAGTTGTTTTTGCAATTTTAACATGCCAGAAATAATTATATCACTACATGAATTTAAAGAACTGTGACCGATTCAAATCATTACATGTATAATTATTATTTTAGAAACATGATATAGACTCATCTCCTTATATTTTTAAACCTAATACAGTGTACAGCCTTTATTGTTATATTCAATTTTTTTCAATGCAATTGGATTGCTTTATAAGCATATTTTCGATAACATATGAGTAAAAATTTATTTCTCGCGACTAATTAAAATATATGTATCTTGTCTTTTCCTGTGCAAGCTTTAATAATGCTACATTTTCATTACTAATAACTAAATTTAATTACTAAACTTGATTATTAATAATAATTGTATTCCATTTTGTATAATTTGATTTTCTAAATTCTCAAGAGATAAACTGTGTTATATTACATACGCCTAACGCTGCGCTATTCCACTTGTTACACCAACTTATTCGAAGATTGCTTTACCGTTCAAAGAATATTGCGATCGTCGCAAATTACGCTTTGCCGAATAGTCAACGGTCGTTTGTCATCTTCACGGAAAATCAATTTCGGAGACGCGCAGAAATGAGTTTATCCCCCCCCCCCCCTCTCTCTCTCTTTCTCTCCTCGCGCTTCGTGCAAGAATATCCGGAGCAGACGCTATCGTTGCTCTTACGTGAGCGAGAGATATGGTGTCGGGAATCGGTGGCGCTGATACTTTATATCTCGCTCTCTTATATATCGTCATTGTACATTGCGTCTCGGAGAGAAGACGTCGTGAAGATCTCGAAATTGCTCACTTTCGTGCGGTCGCTTTAAAAAATTATAAAGCGTCATAGTAAAGCTTTTGCTCGGTGCGGATGTTGACTCGGTTAAACAATTATATCGCATTGTCGGGAAAAGTGACGAGCAAAGGTACACCCGGTGTAGCTCGGAGTCTTTTATCTCGATGCGACGAGTTTTACGCGATTTATTCGACGCGTATCGCACGCGAGTCATCGAATCCACTCGGTTATTTTCGATAATGACATTACTGTCTATCGAAGATCATGTAGTAGCATCGACGATTAACCGCGATTGACTGATCGACGGATAAGATTAGGGCAGTAAATTCGATCCCCGATCATTTGAATACCCGAAGCAACAAGGCACTTATACATGCTGAATATTTAGATCGGCCGAAAATTTCAGATGAAATAGTCGGGTATACCCCGTAATCGCTTAGATCGCCATAAATATACCAGAGATGGGGGAAGGGAACAAGAAGGGGGGGAGGAAGAAGTACCTATTATATATATATATATATATATATATATATATATATATATATATATATTCTTGGTCCTTCTTTTTCTAAAATACCAAACTTATTATTTTAGCCCATATGCGTGCTCCTCTCGTAAATATACAGTACGTATACTCGCAAAATAATAATCCCTCTTCCTTCGTGCACTCGCGTAATCCCTCTTCCCTCGAGGATCGCGAATTGGAAATCGAAATTACTTCGTCGCTCACTTTCGTACGACGCGATTCGATCCGGCCGTTCTCTCGTTATGGCGAGGTCGCGCGCAGATTTAGCGGTAATGAGTAAATACCGATAACTCACCAGTACGCCGGAAACTTTCTCGTGACTGCGGGCGGCTGCGCGCGGTAGTAGAAGGAGAAGGAGCAGGAAGAAGAGAGGGAAGATTCGCGACGCGAGCGTATGGACGTAAGAGAGCGCGAGGTCGAGCGTTATACGTAGGGGTTGCACGAGTCGAGAGGGGCAGAGAGAGAGAGAGAGAGAGTGAGAGAGATAGGGGACGGGGGAAGAGAGGAGGCAAGGGGATGGGAGGAGGAGGGGATGCTATCGGCAAGAGTCTCGGCCACAATCAGCAGCTCGGAGGCGCTCAGTTTGTGTCGGATCTCCGTCGCAGTCGGTTCGTTCCATCGTACGTTCCTGCTGTCGCGTTGTGTACTCCGTTTTCATTCTCTCTCCACCTTTCTCTCTCCAACTCTCTCTCTCTCCCTCCCTCCGCGCTCTGTCCGCCACCTCATTCCCCCCCCTCTCTCTCTCTCTTTCTCTCTCTCTCTCTCTTTGTCTCTCTTTCTCTCCCGTCAACGACACCGAGTTCCGCCCAAAGGGAAGCACAGCCGCGCTTTTCCCTGAACAAGGCGCGTCCTCGATCCTCATCGTGCTCCGTTTCACGTGTGCGAAGTGTACTTCGCCGATCGAAAGGTGAAACGCAGAATCTCTCTCGGATGCGTATGTGCGTGCGCGTGAGATGAAGCGCGCGATATTGTCGTTGCTCGCGTCATCGGCACTCGGAGCGCAAACATACAACGACGCGAGAGAGAAAAGTGGCGAGATCTTTGTTCGATAAATACGTTATAGGAAGGATAAGTCCGTAAATTCCTCTCGATCGATCCGGATAACGGAACGTGTCGAGTACACGCGGTCGACGACGCATCCTCGACTCGCGCGAAAGCGAACGTCACGCGCGATAAGAGGCCCACTCGGCTGACTCGGCGCGTCTTTAGCATCGAGAGATTAGCGACACGACGTGACTCGGCTCGTTTCGAGGAGGACGATTCTCGTGAACGACTGGAACGACAATCGTATCTCGCGCGAAGTGCACCAACTCCCGTTGCTGCCTGTCTACTTTCGCGCGTAATCCATCGATCGAGAAGATTTCGCAACATTCGATCATCGTGCGTGTTTTCTCGATGAATCATCGACGGCTATTGATTTATTGACGATTATTGATTATTGTTTTATTTTGTCCATCGTTTTCACGTTTCAAGGGTGACGGGTTATTCGTTAACGCGTATATCCGAGTTCGCACGGTAACCAGGATAAGAACCCGCATCCATCTGACGTGAAACAACGCGTTCCACCGTGTCTGAATCACCGGTATTCTCTGTTTCAAGGTTATTTCCGTCCGAAAGAAAAGTCGATTTTTTCGAAATTAATCACTTGAGCCGAAGGTGACGTATTAATAAACGATAACTTAATAACAAACAATAATTTGAATTAAATTTTTCATCCGATGTGTGTGTGTGTGTTAAGCACATGTGCACAGAGAAAAATGTATACTGTATTCAAGTAAATATTATTTATTTTAAGTATATCATAAGTTTGTATATTCGCAAATATATCATAAATTCACCACAAGCATTACATTTAATTGAATATATTCTGAATTTTAGTAAGTGCAGTATTTTAGTCAAGAATATTAAATTAAAACCAAAATTTGGTTTACTTACTACAAGAGTGAAATAAGTTTGATTTTTCTTTGATTCAACTTTACAATATTCTTGAAGAGAAAATAAATTCTTCTCTTGAGTACACGATAATGAGATTTTCTAACTTGTGATGAGTTTATTTTAAGACTGTTATCAAGAATATATTCTTTGTTGAAGAAAACTATTACTTGAAAAAAGAAAAATAAACTGAGTAATCGCTTTTCTTGGCAGTAGAACGATATTTTTCTCCGTGCGTTCTCGCGAAAATTCTCGGAGCGTCGATTAAAATTTGAAAATCGGCTCGACGACAGCCCGCAAAATCGATGCATCGTTTGGATGACGAGTGAATCGAGAAGGCGCGCAAAGGTTCGAAACGACGCACACTTGTTTTACGTAATGAAATCGCGTTTGTCAGGAGAAGCAAACGCGCTCGCTCGCTCGCTCGCTCGCTCGTTCCTTGGTTCGCTCGCTCGCGCGTGCGCCGCGTTATCTATCCGTCGTCGAGCCTTGCGTCGCGCGCGGTGGGGGAAGTGGAGGGGAGGCTCTTCGATCATCGGCATTACTGGCCTCCTCGTGCGTTCTCGTGTCTCGTCGGCGCGTCGGCGGCTCGGCGGCGATCGGCTGATTCCGTGCGTCGCCGTCAGTCTCGCTCCAGCTCGCGCGCGTTACGGATCGTTCTTGCGTCGCTCCCGGATCGCTGTCGTCCCCGCGACACTATCGCGAATATACGACCGTAAAGTAATTGCGCGTGAACACAGTTGCGGAGATCCCTCCATCTGCTATCCTGTCTGTTTAATTAATCATCAACGACGTGTTTCTGTGCTTTCCAGGGTGAGAGATTTCGTCGATTAGTGCGATCGACGTTGCGGCCGCCGTTGCTTTCGTCATCGCGGTGAGTACGTCGCATACCTCCTCATCGTCGGCCAGTGCGCGCTTCTCGAATACGCGGTCACGCATGCACGCATGGACAAGCAACGGCGACGCGGCACTGCCCAATGATGGCCGTGCCGGGCATTACCGTTGACGTAGTGATGTATTATTAGTGGTGCGCGTCGCGGGAAAGTGCTGTGTCGCTCGTCTCGCTCTCGCTCTCCCGTTGCTCACTTCGCTCCGTACATCTCGGCTTCGATAACCAACGCGAAGTGTGCGCCGGAAAATCAGTGATCGCGGTTGAGGGAAGGCACGATAATACGTACGCGTATTTCGCCCATCCCGCCCGCCCACGCGAGTTTACCCAGTGAGAGTTTCATATCAGTGTACGACAGTTTTGCTCTCTGTGTGGATTATCATATTGGATATACTCGTATTGTCATATTGGATATACTGCGCTCTGTCGCGACCCAGGACCACAACACGCGCGTCGTCCCTTGTCGCAGACGACGGACCAGGAGATCGAGATTCCGGTGAGTACCTATATCCATTATGTTACATCCTGTGTACTCGCTCGCGTTCCTTCTCCGTCGAGATCGATGCGAGATCCCGAAACGCGTGACTGCGACCGTATGTCGCGCGCCGTCGCGCTTATCGCTCTCGATCGGCTGCCATCTTGTTATTTGTAGTCTTCGCGACACTCCGCGAGCGTGTTTACGACGCGGAAACGTATCTCTGCTCGGACGTTAAACCGATATCATTTCCGCGATGCGAGAGAATCGCGCGTGGATCGCGCCCGCGTTTACCTGTCAAAATCCGGAACGCGTTCGCGGCGCAAAAAAGATTGGAGTCGAGGAATTTGAAAATTATATACATATCTCGCACACGCGACAACGTCATTTCTTAAACCGATATCATTTCCTCGATGCGAGAGAATCGCGCGTGGATCGCGCCCGCGTTTGTCTGTCAAAATCCGAAACGCGTCCGCGACACAAAAAAGATTGGAGTCGAGGAATTTGAAAATTATATACATATCTCGCACACGCGACAACGTCATTATATCTCAAGTTTTTCACGAGTCGATCTGTCGAGCGGAAAGATGTCGGATCGATGAGACGGAGACGTTTTTAACGTCCAACTTTAGGTCGGAAGCTCTGACGTTTACGACGATTTTGAACCGAGCTTCGCGCTTTTTTGTCCTTCGCGTGCTCCCGGCGAGACGCGACACACGATTTCGAATAAAAAGTTTGGTGACAGTCGTGTAAACAGCATTTAGCGCGCATCGTCTCGCTCAAGCTCTTTAACTTTGCGCTTTGCGCGAAATTACACCTTGTTAAGGCACGAATCACTTTGCGATAAAGTTGCGCGAGTTACGTGGCAACGCATGTTTCATCATCGCGGTAATTTCTCTCTCTCTCTCTCTCTCTCTCTCTCTCTCTCTGCTCTCGGAGAAAAACTACTCTCTTAAACTAATAATAATAACGTTTTACGACGAGTCTAGAAATTGTCGCAATGACTTTGCGTCGTGTGTTATACTTGCTTTTTTATTTGATGTCATACGATCGTAAATTGAAATGTTTACGACGATTTTTACTTTCAATTGCGATAATTATTTTTTTTTATGCAGAGAGAGAGTCATTTTCTCAAGATTTTTATTAGTCATATTTTTGATGAAATACACATGCGAATCGTTGACAAGGATTTCGTGCTAAAAGTGTCGGCGATAACAGAATACGAGATTACGAAAATAAAGTCGGTGGCACGATCGCCCTCGCGTCATGAAAAATATTTGCGCTTGTCGAATTAAATTTTTATTTGCGAATGATGGATGCGGTGAGAGAAGTTAACGACCGGTACGCGAAACTTTCTTTCGCTTTTTCGGCAAACTTATCGTCTCGCGTATGCAGTTAGTCTGATATTCGCGCACAACCGATCAGTCGACGCTGCAAATCGATTGTCCGATAAAATGTACACTTGATGCATGAAACAAGAAACACCTGTTACAAACAATCAAAAAGTAAGGCTTGCGAAATTTTCGAACGTTATTACCTTGTATCACGAAAAACGATTCAACTTCTAGACAGCTAATATGAAGAAACTGCAGAAACTGCGATAGCTTCTTAAATAGTTTTCAGAGACTAAGATTGTAGAAATATAGTGCTTTCTCGTTTAGCAGTAAATTTTTTCGTTTATTACGAGATAATTTCCTGTCTGCAAAGTACACGAATACACGTACAATACAATTGAAGAATTTATCGCGGGTAATCGATCACAACTTTAAACGAATGTTCTCTTTTAAGAACGTAACAGGAAGCGTCATAAATAAAAGTCGAGTCCTCCTAATTGAGGAAGAAATTAGCGGAATCGCAAATAAATGTGTCACAGTCGTGAATGAAGATATAATTGCAAGTTTGAGATTTGTGGTTCGCGATGACTCTCTCTTTATCTCTCTCTCTCTTTTTCTCTTTTTCTTTCCTGCGGATCTCCTGAATTATTCACGAATCCACCATAGAGGAAACGGAAAATCGCGAAGGATGCAATTCGGTGAAGTCAAGAGCGGCGCGTATCTCACCCGCGGGGAAAACGGAGTAATCCGTAGAATCGTATTATCTTCGAAAGATATTGCGTGTATCGTGGATGGGAATATTTTAGATTTGTGTCCGAGGAGAAAGCGATTCGAGGCCGGGACTCCGATGTCGCTCGGTCACGGTATAGTTCGCGTTCTCTTCGCTGCGAACGATATTATTTCTGGCACGGCACCAGCCAGCGATCGATCTCGTCCTCGAACGGGCGATCGCGAACGTCATCGTCATATGTATGTATGTGTGTGCGTGTATGTACGTGTATGTATATGCATGAGTATGTACGTATGTGTGTGTGTGTCGCGATCGATCGCAAACGAGCGCGTATCCGCCAGCGGGGAGAGTGGGGCGAAAGAGAGAGAGGGGGGAGGGGGAGGTAAGCGCGAAACACGTTTACCGAGACCCCGGAAATAATTACCGCTAAGCAGAGCCGAGTCGTCGGCAAATTGAATTGGCTTCGAGTACCGGCGCATAGTTCTCTCTTTCTCTCTCTCTCTCTCTCTTGGCAGCCATCGTCGTCGGTCGGCCTCGAATACATTCGAGAGACGATCCCGCCGTAAATTCTCTCCTCTCGCGATCCCAGTTTGCCAATGTTTGCAAACAAACTCGACGCGGTTCCCGCGATATCACGTACTCCACGTTTGGCTTGGTCGATTTGCCTCGTTCATACGCGTTCCCTTCTCAAATCGCGCAATTTCTACGCGATAGAAAGTCGCACGTGGTCGATTGTCATCGGCAACGAGATTCAACTCTTTATTATAGTTTTTTTTTTTTTACGAAAGAGAAATTGAAACGTTGGCACAAAGCTCTTATATTATATTTTGCCACTTAATCCAAACGCGCGCGCGTTTTGCATGATTTCGATGATGATTTTATATGTAACATGCAATATATAATTTCCTCCCCCTGATAATATTTTACTACATTATGTCCGTTTATGTTAAATGAAATATATTATTTTATTATGCTACAAACGGTGGTAATTGCAGTTAAAATCATTAACGTGTGTATACATATAAAACAATTGGTACGCAAAGGAATATATGAATAATCACGCTCATTAAATCACAGTTATTGCTTTAATAACAACCGCAAATGAGAGAAGCATACCGCATAAGCGCGTGTAATACGGTAAATAAGTCACATACGGCATATGCAATAACAAGATGAATATTCAATTAGCGAAAAACAGTCTCGTCTGCTTTGAAAATTCAATAACAACGAATAGGGAAACAATACTAGCAAACTTGCGACATATTTCGCCATGACTTGAGTAAATTCAGTGACTTGCATAGTAGCAGAGTATAATTCGATTACTATCGAGTAATTTATGCAAAGCAACTCGCTAAACGAAGCGAATAGCGAACTTTTCGACGGCAGAATTATTTCTCCCTTTCAAAGGCCGTTTTTATTGCTCTCGCCGGCTGTCCCGTCGCGCCGACATCTTTAGAACTTTTGCTGAGTTGTTCGGCGAAACTTTTTTTCTCGGTCTGTTAGAATTATTATCATCCTGAGAATTATCTACATCTTTTGAAAAACGCACTTTTATCGCACAAAGGCGAGCACATTTCTCATAGCTCGTCGAACTATATCAGTCAGCTGATGATAAAAAAATGAAAAAAAAAAATTGCGAATTATTATATTTGTATATCAGCGTTTGTCAGCGATATGCTACTCTTTCGACGATAAATGCGCACATATGCACGCGTTCTATATTTAGCTCGAGACATTGCTCCATCTCGTATGTTGTTATTATTATCGTGTTTTCGAAACGAATGTATTATCCCAGGATAGAGCGGCTGCAGTCGCAGAGGCAGTACTTAAAGTTCCGCAGCCGCTTCGCGCGTGAAAGCGGCCACGCTCGCGCGACACACGTGCGCGATTTCTCCTCTTGCTGTCGCACGCACATTCTTTCACGATCCATCGGCGAGCGCGTCCATTGGCCGACATCCAGTTTCGGACTCGTTGCTACCACTAGGAAGCTCTATTTAGCACCGAAAGTCTTTTGCGCGCGATCTCTCGGACTATTAAACGCGAGGAGTATTAAAATTGAAACTTTCTCAAATGTTGAAAAATAACGATACGTGTAATTAAACGCGATATGTGTGATTAAACGTGAGATTTATTTTCCATTTATTTTTCTTGGAAACAACGTCGCGTATAGAGATATAATATATTTGTTGACGGAATATGCGGTATTTCCTGTTTGGTGACTTTTCCGCTCGTCCGTGTATATCGTCCCGATAAGTTTTATGGGTCAGACCGTTTCTGACCGCGATTTCGTGTGGATTTGGTTGATGAACATACGGTACCGAAATTTCTCCGGTTCGGAATTTCCGCTCCGCTGGTCGGTCCGTTAGGTGCGTTAATGAGATACGCCGGAGAAGGAACGGGAGATAAAACTCGACCTAGATAGACCGCGTGTGACTTTGAGCAAGGGGGAAAGTTGTCGACCGTTTACGCGCGATTGATCGATTATCGTACTGATCATTCTTGCGCTAAGTAGCGATAATCAGCGATGCGATATCTTGCAATTAGGAAATGAAAAAATATAATTTGAAAGAATGTACACTGATGGAATGATAAATATATATGTATACATATGTATATTGTGTAATTCCAGTGGATCGATGTACTTTTGAAATAGCTCATTAAATGTAGTGAGAGTAATCGCAGTAAATTACGACAACGTAAATGATTAACATATATTAATTTCGACATTGGAAAATATTCTGCTACAAATTTTGCTTCATATTGGTGTTAATTTTGCAATCAAGTTTCTTATTTGATAGCGATTTAATTTATTTATTAACAATTTATTTTTATTAATTATCAATCGACAGATTTGGATTTTGTTTAATTAAAGTTTATCCAATAACGAGAAACCTAGATTTCGTGGTTTACCATTGTTGCGCGGAATCTTTAGAATACCGATGCTATTTTAACAGCGA